TGTTGGGGTGAAGGGAGCCTCAGGGAAGAGGATGAAGCTTGGGTGACCTTAGTGATCTTCAGCTCGGCACCCTGCTCTGGTAAATCTTGACTTCCTGCAGCTTTCTGACCCCCAGATCTGGGCATATTTCTTCATTTCTTGTCTAGGTTGTTTTAGCAGTTGTGTCCCAGCACAGCTGGGGCCTTCATGCTCTGAACCTAAAGGTGTGGTGCCAGAGCTGCCTGTGCCCTGATCCTGGAGCAGAAGGGGAATGGTGACCCTTCCTCACATCTCTGGGGTGAGCAGGGGCTGTCTGAGGTGGGGAAGGTAGAGATTTGCCCCCCCAAACCAGACGGGGGGCTGGAAGTGTGCTGTGATGAGGTTGCCATTTTGTCCTGCCTTTACAGGGGGAGAGGTGGCTGATTTTGGGGGTTCTGCCCCTCCCCTCCCAATCTGGGGGCTGGTTGCTGCGGGTGGTGGGGATGTGGGGCTGAGGACGTGGCTCTCTGGAGGGTGGGGGGAGCTGTACGACTGGGATGGGGCTGTGGAGGTTGGAAGCCCTCTGGAAATAAGCACTGCGGGCAGGACGAAGAGGATTAATTTCCAGTGAAGTGAAATTACAGGTACAAAATTGGAACAAATAATCCACTTATTCTCAAGACCCAATCATAAAACATTGAAATCCAGATTAATGGGGTATCATCGCCGTTAGATTTCTCTTGAAAAAAGAGTTATTTCTGGCTTTAAACCCTGGCTCTTACTGCAGCATGTCCTCGTGTCCGTAGGACAGTGCTGTGCTCCTGTGTCTCTTGCAAGACCAAAATTAAATGGCAGCCTTGTCATATCTTAGCACTGTTCCATGGACACTGAAGCTGTTTGGGGAGGAGAGAAATGAAGTTATTGCCTCACTTGCAGGAGATGGGCCAAACCTGAAGGGAAGGGAATGCTCATCCTTGTGTAGATGTTGTAGGTGTACAGCAGGTCCACACAAAAAAAAAGGTGACACGGAACAGAAGGAAGCAGGAGGGAATATGATTTGTGATTTTTACTTAATGTCAGGATGAAAAAAAATAAAATAAAATAAAATTAGAGTAGAGCCAGGTTTGAGAGCACTGGTGTTTCAAATCCCCAAAAATAAGAGGGCAAATCCATCTGCTCCTTGGTCCCATCAGCCAGAAAGGGAGGGGACAATTATTTATAGTCCAAAGTAGTGCTTAGCAAATACTGGATGTGCTTACCTTTGGTTTTTTGTTGGTGCTTGAGACCCGCTTTCTGGGGTTGTCTTCTCTTCTTGCCCTTTCTTGCGCACCCGCTTTGTGTGACACAGATGGAGAGGTGGTCCTCAAGCTTGGTGGCTGGAGGAAGAACAGCCCATGGACCTGTTAACCCACGCTATTTGTGGGATAAGGATGCTGGAGAACAACTGCCATTAGGAAAAAGTCTTAAGTGGCCCCATTTTCACATATGTTGCATTTACATTTGAGCTAATTGCTCATGTTCCTTTAATGGTTTCATGCTTTTATTTCTGCTGTTACAGCCTCTAATGCCTGTAGGGAGCCTTGAGTTTGGGTGTTAATAAATGAAAATTAGGGCCCTCATTCTCCATGGAGAAATGCTCTTGGGCGCCGTGGTAATTTCATGCCTGGAAGGAGTCATATTTGCTGGATAATTTTTGTAACTTAAACCAACCAAATTAGCCTTGAGAAACTGTAGTTCTTAATCAGAGTATTGAACTCTGTGCTCCATTAGTTGGAAACATCGCCAGGCTCCTTGCACAAAGGGTGGACATTTGGTTTGCAAAGCAGGAAAATGGTCTGATTTTTTTTTTTTTTTAATGCTTGGGGCAGCAGCCAGCCCGGGGCTTAAGGCGTCTTCATAATGCTCTGAGAACTTCGTAGGGTCAGGCACAAAGTCACATCGTGTCAGCTGCTCTTGCAAAATGAGGCAGCTTAAATGACATTTGCCTGCCTTCTGTGCCCACCTTTTTTTTTTTTTTTAAAGAGTAATAAAGGACAGTTTGGATATTAATAGAGATTTGGTTGTTAATCCCAGGAAATGGGGTTCCAAAAGTAATCGAAGTGGGGGGAAGGTGGGAAATGCCATCAGGCCCTGGCGTGTTTGTGGCTCGTGGGACTGTACCCACAGCAGAAGGTGGTTTTGGCTCAAGAAACGTTTGTGTTGGGGTTTTATTTCTATGAATCTTAACTCTGCCATTTAAATATGGTGTAATCACGGAAGAGGGTGGGAAGGCATTATGTGTTCCACTTAGGAAAGGTGCCACAGCCTGGAGATGTGTCCTTTGGGTCTGCCATGAATGGGATTCTGGATTTTCAAAGTCCCACTCTTTCTCCTTCCAGGTGAGCTGAGACATGGCCACTGGCAAGAGCCATCGGGTCGTGGCATCTTCCAAAATGGATGATAAGTTCCAGAGCAAAGCGGTAGCACCTCATAATCCGATGGTGGTCAGGGAGGAAGAGGAGCCTGTAACTGTAAGTACCTGCTGTGGCTGGGCAGGAGCTGTGTTAAGGCTGGAAACTCCCCCTCTGTCCCTCCCCTGCCTTCCCCTCCTGTTGTCCTGTAGCTCGGTGAAGCTGGACACCACCTCCCCATTCCCTTGATGCCCTCGTTCAGTTGGGGGTAGCTGTCCTGATGCAGCGAGGGATGCACTGTGTGCTGGGAAAATCCAGAGTCTTGCCTGCGTGTGCCACTGGAGCCCAGCTAAATGAATTCACTGGGCAGTAATATCTTCTGTCACATAGGCATACTTGCTGCTCTGGCCATACCTGCCCGAGGAATTGAGAGATGTGGCTGGTCCCAGACAGAACAGATTCCAAACCAGTTGTTTTATCTCATACTGTGTGTAGAGCACAGATCCAGCCCTGCAGACAGCGGTGGACTCAGGGCAATTCTTCCTTCTCATCCACAAACATCCCCTTTGCTGACTGGAGCTCAGCTGACTTGGAGACAACCTTGTGCTGAGGCTCCTCTGTCAAGGAGGTATCTCCGTATGCTTCTGTGGAGGGGGTCTGTGAGGCCAGAACAGAGAGAAAACAATAGCTAATTAAAAAGAGATAACTAAAACTTGGACCCATTCCTCCCCACCTCACTCTTGGCACAGTGGCTGCTTTTCTGCTTTCCTCTGACTCATCCAGCAGTGACATCTCCACGTGCGTGTTGGTTGTGAGCATCGTGCAAGGACGGAGTTGGGGGATTTCTGATAACTCCTCCCTGCTCTCTTCAAAGGTCACTGGCTCAATCCAGCAAAACTAAAGAAGAAGTAAATGCCCAAAGAGCAGAAATCCCCAGACATGTCACGTCGAATCACGATGGAGAAGCTAATGGGACAGAGCCACTTGGTTAGAGCATGTGTATTCCGCTCTATATCATTAATTTACTGATGTTAAATATTTCAGCAGGTAACTTACGGGACTTCCAGGATTATCCTAGTAGCTGTGGTCACAAATTATTCATCACTGGCACTTGAACAAGAAAAGCCTTTCTGAACAAAGCCGTTTCTGTAGCTCTTGCTGATGTTTTGCATTTCAGCTGACTCCCTCTGCCTTCCTAAAGGAGATGTCTCTCACCACCGAGCAGAGGTTGGCCAGCACTCGGGAGATGCGGCAGCCCCGGATTATCCAGCTCCTAGACATGAGTGAAAGCTCTCATCAGAAGGTAGCCTTTTCCTGCCCTTTTCCTTGCTGTTTTGATGTGACATTTGAGGAGGGCGCGGGCTTGTGACAGGCTTGCCTCCAGTTTATCTAAATACCTTGGTGACTAGGTCCTGGTTGTCCTTTCAAACCGATGGTGGTGGAGTTCCTTCTGTTGGGGGAAAGGCACAACATTTTTCCCTGGTGAGACGTTGAAGTCCTGATCTGTGCTAAGTTGATATAAATAACCTCTGCTGGAGTTCAGCTGCTGTCACTAAAACACGATGCTGGGGCAGGACGCAAAGGCATGAGCTTGCCATTTGCCATCCTCCTGCTGAAATAGCCACGTCTTGCTTTGGGGTGGTCACTGCCAAATGCCTCTGGTCATGACTCCCTCAGTGATGGCAGCCTTTGAAGGCTGTAGACCCTATGGCAATTAGTCAATTACAGAATCATAGAATGGTTGGGGTTGGAAGGGACCTTAAAGATTATTGGGTTCCAAGCCCCCTGCCCTGGGCAGGGACACCTCCCACCAGACCAGGTTGCTCCAAGCCCCATCCAGCCTGGCCTTTTGAAGATTGTCAAGATTTGACAAACCCAATTGCATGAATGCTTTGGGTTGAAACACCATGCGGGACCCTTGTTGAGTGTTAGATTTTTGCAGTCTGCCAATATAGAGGGGCAGAGGGGAGTGGATCCACTTTATCTGGACCAACACTTACTTAGATCTATGTTCAAAGCTGCTTTTCTTACAGGGCTCAGTATAAGACACAGTTCAGAGTGGGTAGACCACTGAGGCAGGCTGTAGGGTGGAGAATTGCCAGTGAGAGTCATGTAACAAATTGGTTAAGGATTGTTCTAAACAGCACAGGAGGTCAGGAACGTGCAGAAATAACTGGCCATGTGCTGGAGCTGCCGGCCACGGCGTGACCGTGACTGCTCTGGACCTGCTGGTGCAGATACCAAATCCAGTCTTACTCAAATTTCCCAGTAATGCTGGAAAAATTGCTGAACCTTTCACCATCCAGCATTCACCTCATTTGTCTTTTATCTAACAACTGGGTTACTTTCTTTCTGGCCTTACCTCCTCTGGTGCTGTACTCTTACTGGTTTCTGGGCTATATATCCAAGAAAAGATATTTGGGAACGTGTAGGACTCTGCCTGTCTTGGAGTAAAGATCATCCCAAAATTGTTTCCCGTGGAATCTCATGTAAGTTTTTGGGTTTTGCTTGCTCCACGAGTGCTCATGGCTCTTTGGAGCTGTGTGATCATATCAGCAGAAGGCTCTGCTTGGAGGTAACATTTTTGGAGAAGGAGACCTGGAGAAACATCTACCAAAAAAGGTTCTTGGCTTGAGCCTGGGCAATGTGGTCCAGAAACTTTGGGTCAGTTCAGAATGCAGATGGGTGAGTTACTGTTTCCCTGGTGTGAGCTGGGCAGGTGTACTCACCCCCAGACTGTATGTCACCAGGAACCAGTGTAGGACTCTCATTCCTGAATCTTCCTCCCAGCAGCTGAACCTCTCACCGCTCTCTTTTGCCTCTCCAGTTCTCCACAGTTGACCTGGAACAGAGCTTGTTTCAGCCTTTCCCCTCAGAGGTGGTGTTTCAGAGCTACGTCCCCTGCGAGGTCTACGAAGTGCCACTGATCCTGAGGAACATTGACAAGGTAAGCGCTGGGACGCGGAGGTTTAACACCCCTGGAAGAGGGCAGCACACCTGGAATAAAAAAATACCTCACCACCTTCATTTTGCAAGGTGGTAGAAGTTTTCCTGTGCTGGGGATTCTCCCCCTGATTTTGGCTACGCGTTGGTGGTATGTAACCCAAAGGAGCTTTCCTAGTCAGCATCCTTCCCCTTGGAAGCCCTGGATTGATGGGAACAGTGAGGGCTGTGCGGTTCTTACCTGCTTTTCATGCTTTACCTCGAGTGTACCCCACGTCCTGGTGGCTCCTGGGTTGATCTTGGTCTCTGGCAGGGCATCACTGCCTCTGTGCAGCTCACTGTCAAAGCACAGGGGATGAGTCTTCTCCTCTTTATGCTGGAATAAGTTATAATTAGTGGCATTAGCTCTCCAGGAAAGGTGTTTTGAAACAGCAGTGGAAACAGACTGATTTAGCAGCAGCAGTGGGAGGCTTTTAGGTGCCACTTTAGGCTCCTGCTAAGCTTAATTCAGTTCAGTTGAGGTTTTTCTAAGACAAGGTGGCTTCCTGCTTTCCCCATGGAGAACCAGAGCCCATCCAGAGTAATGCGCTCTTGAAGGTCTCCACCTTTACTTGAAAAAAAAAAAAACAAAAAACCAACAAACAACTGTGATCACTTTGAGATTTCCCAAGAAAGTTGAGAAGGGAAAAGTTGAAAAATGTCAGCAATTTTGTTCCGCTGTAAAGAGGAAAATTGAGACCTTTTGAATTTCGGCAGGGGAAACATTTGCTGGAACGAGGCATGTGCCAAGAGCAAGCTGGTGGGAAAAGACAAGGAGAGAGGAAAAGAGCTGAGTTAGAAAGTGCCCTGGGAGAGAACATTGTAGACGCAAGGGTTTCTCTTGACACCTAACAGCAAGTGCACTGGAAGCAGAGAAAGGTCAGAAAAAAAGAAAGGTGTAATTAAAGATAGCGAATAGTAAAGTGTATGTGTGAGAGGGGGGCAGGATGGGAAAGTGGAATGGCACACAAGAGCAGGTGAATTCACCCCCTCTCCAAATCTACCCCTTGGGGGAAACCAACAGGTAGACAAAAAAAAGCTTTGGAGGCATATTGCAGGTGGAAGAACTGCAGGCGAAGCTGAAGTATATTCTGAGATAACAGGTTTTGACAGGGACATGGTTGAAAATGGAAGACCCTTTGGTGAGAAAGGATGCAGATGTGGTCCCTCAGTTATTCGCAGAGAGTATTGTGCCATTCCTGGTCTGGCCTTTAGCTCGGGACTGTTGGAAAGGTGCAGTGTGGATGCCTGTGCCCAAGGGATACCACTGGTGTGGCCCACACTGGTTCTGGGCACTCTTTGTGCTGTAGGTATCCTCTTTCCTGATTAAAATGTGCCTCAGTTTCTCTCTTCCTACGGCTCCGCTTCCTTCCCACTAAAGTCTTTTGGCTTCAGCTGCTCTGTTATCCATGTGGCACTTCAAAATGTTTGTCTTTGCCAAGTACCAGCCACCAGGCAGACAGTTAATTTGCTCTGTTCGTGCTTCCTCAAGTGGAAAAGAACATCTGCATCAACATTTCTGCCATTCCCGGTAAAAAAAAATAAATAAAATAAACTTCTACAGCTGCACCTTGGGATTTGTGTGCCCTGTAAAGGGGAGGCAATGTGTGAACTGCTGATGTTTTTTCCAAAATGAATTTGTTTTGAAGCCAGTAAGACCTCAACCATGGGACAGCACCTGCGTAAAAGTAAGATCAGCTCTAAGGAAAATCCTTGGCGTGTTTAAGTACACAAAGATAGAGATGATAATCCCAAGAGAAGTTGTTATAGTCTAATTTTGCTTGCTTTTGGTCATGTCCAGGAGAAAAACAACAGTGTGCTCTGTCTCAAAGTTTTTCTCACCAGCTTCCCGGGTTCTTAGTGAGGTTGTCTGCTCCATAAAAATCCAGCTAAAGGCAAAGTATATTCCAAATAAGCTCGGTATTCATTCAGATACAGAAGTGCTTTGCTCTATACTTATTGCTCTTACCTGTGTGTTCGTAAACTGCTTTTCTGTCTCCGGGCTGCTCCTCACCATCCTTAGAGATGTTCTGTGTTGCTTTTGCTGAAGGTCTTCGCCATGTGTGTTCATCTCCCAAGGGGCTCTGTGACCAGGGTGAAATTGGCTCCTGGAACGTGCTCCCCCAGGGCACTTCTGGGAGCAAAGGGTGTTTGGAGAGTCCAGGAACGCCGTGGCCATGGGTTGTTGGGCTCGGGTGGGTGGTGCAGAACAAATCTCCATTTTTCCCAAGCCTCCTGTGGGTTTGTTGTTTATCAGTGAAGCTGCCTGTCAGTCAAAATAGACTCTGTGAGATGAGATTTGGTGTTCAGGGCCGTACTGGAAGATGCCTGCTTGCTCTGTCTGTGCTCGTGGTGTCCCAGAGGGCAGAAACTTGCACCCAGGTGCCTGCAGGGTCGACTGGATGTGGGCAGAAATACCCAGAAATCTGGCTTTCCCGCACTGGCAGCTGCCTGGCTGCACTCACCAGGCAGCAAGAGCCTCCTGAGAGCCAAGATTGGCTTTTAATAATGAAACCACACTGTGAGTCAGTGCCAGTCGTGTATGTCAAGACAGAAAATGCCTTTGAAGCCCATAATTGATAGGCACAGCCTGGGGGGCCGTCTGGCTTTCCATCATTTTGGTAAGTTGACTGCTCTTGTCTCCTGCATCAGCCTTTCCTTGTAGAGTATTGCGTTTCTCCCTTGCTTCTTTACAGCCCCCTTTAAATTCTCTTAGCCATCTCCTTGTTTCTGAGGTTTTGTTTTCCTGTGTTCCTCCTCTTGCTCTTCTTCAGCTTGCTTTTATTCCCAGTACGGCTACGGTGTCTGTGGGCTCCTCTCCTGGTCTGCCTGGATGACTCTGCAGCTTCATTGCCCCACTCAAACCCAGTGTGTTAGAAAGGAACATTTTCCTTGCCCCACTCTGACAAATACTGCTTTGCCTTCAAAAAAAAAAAAACATCCCCCCCACGTCGAGGTGTGACTGCACGGAGTTTTGCATGCAGAAGCAATAAGGTTCTTTGGGCTTGTTGAACATGGGGATGACTTGGTTTGGGTGTTCTGTCTCCATACTGGTGATGTCTTACTCACTTTGTGATTCCTTCACAGCAAGGCATTGACCTCCTGCCTCTGGCCTAGAGCTGTTTTGCCCAGGCAGAAGGGATTCAAGTCATAGAATCATAGAATGGTTTGGGTTGGAAGGGACCTTTAAAGATCATCTAATTCCAACCCTTCTGCCATGGGCAGGGACACCTCCTCCCACTAGACCAGGTTGCCCAAAGCCCCATCCAGCCTGGCCTTGAACACCTCCAGGGATGGGGCATCCACGACCTCCCTGGGCAACCTGTTCCAGTGTCTTACCACCCTCACTGTAAAGAATTTCTTTCTAGTATCTAATCTAAATCTCCCCTCCCACAAGTCCACCCTTGTGCATTATATGCAGGTGCCTCAAGAGCTCAAAGTGCTTTGGGAAAGTGGTTAAGGAAGGATGTCACCAGGGAACAGCCAGGTCTCTTCTCAAGTTTCCGTGAGTGGCAAAATTATAGTTTCACATCTTTCTTGCAGGTTCCTCGGATGGTGAAGGTTGTCTTGGAGAGCTCACCTTATTTCAAGTTGATCAGCCCCAGGGATGTGTGCCATAAGGTAGCACCTGGCATGCCTTTAACTTTTCGCGTCCTTTTCACCCCGGAGGAGAACAAGGTGAGATTGGAGGTCCCAAGAGGTTGGTGCCTTCAGTGGAAGGTGAACATGCAGGGCTGGATTCAGAACAGGGCATCTGGTCTGGGTTTTGAGGAACTTGTCCTGGGTTCAGTGGGGTTGCGCTGGATCTAGAAGCAGGGGAAACTCTTTCCTCATGGTGAAGATTATGCTCTCATAGGCTGGAGGCTCTTACTTGGTTCAGGCTGTTTTTATCCTTCAGCGGGGGAACATTTAATGTCTCTGGGCTTCAGGGATGAGAAGAGTCTCTGTGGTGGGGCACCTCTCAAGGTGTTGCTTTCTGGATTCTGTCCATTGCTGCATAATTATGGGTTTATTCCACTCACTGTAAATACAAAGGTCTGTTTAAAAGTGACCCATTATTTGGAGGACTTGAAGTTGGGTCTGATCAGAGTGAGGACCGCTACCCTTGGAAAACTGGAGTCACTTCAATGTCTGTCATAGAATCATAGAATCATATGGGGTTGGAAGGGATCTCTGGAGATCATCTACTCCAACCCCCGCACCGGAGTGGGTCTACCTAGAGCAGGTCCCACAGGAACATGTCCAGGCGGGTTTGGAATGTCTCCAGAGAAGGAGACTCCACCACCTCCCTGGGCAACCTCTTCCAGGGCTCTACCACTCTCACAGTGAAGAAGTTCCTCCTCATGTTTAGGTGGAACTTCTTCTACTCAAGTTTGTGCCCATTTCCTCTTGTCCTGTCCCTGGGCACCACTGAAAAAAGACCGGCCCTGTCCTCCTGACACCCTCCCTTGAAGTATTTATAAGCATTGACCAGATCCCCCCTCAGCCTTCTCTTCTCCAGACTAAGAAGACCCAAGTCCCTCAGCCTCTCCTCGGAAGGGAGATGCTCCAGGCCCCTCATCATGTTTGTAGCCTCTGCTGTCCCCTCTCCAGCAGTTCCCTGTCCTTCTGGAACTGGGGAGCCCAGAACTGGTCCCAGTGCTCCAGATGGGGCCTCCCCAGGGCAGAGCAGAGGGGCAGGATGACCTCCCTCCACCTGCTGGTCACACTCTTCCTGATGCCCCCCAGGATGCCATTGGCCTTCTTGGCCACAAGGGCCCATTGCTGGCTCATGGTTGTCCTGTTGTCCACAAGAACTCCCTGTGTCCTCATGTTGGACACAGCAGTGAGGCAGCAGAATGTTGTCCCTAAAGCTGTCGTTATTCTTACAGACTGGTTATATCCCAGTGAGGTCTGTTCCAGGCTGGGGTCAGGCAGTTCTGCTGTCGGTCACATCTTGACCTTGCTCTCAGCCACTGCAGCAGGGGCTGATGGGCTGGACTGGGTGTTAAGATCCTTTGCATCTCTCTACTCAGTGGTAGGGGTTTAATTATCATGGAAAATATTAAAGGAGCAAATAGACCCAAAGAGCTTTTCTTTTTCCCAGCTGGCAGTCACTTCTCTGCCTCACTTGGGGCTGGAGGAAAGATGGTGCTTTTCCATACCCTCAATTTTCACACTTGGCAGCCGTGCTGTCCATCAGGATGTTTGCCTGGCATCCAGCTGCGCGTCGGGGGGAGAGGGAAGGCTGTGCAGAGGGCATGGAGCCAGCTCAGCACGGACACACCGAGCTCTAGATGTCATTGGCTCAGCGGGAGGTTGGTGTGCTGCAGGTGACTTTGAGACATATAATCATAGAATGGTTTGGGCTGGAAGGGACTTTAAAGAGCACCCAGTGCCACCCCTGCCCTGGGCAGGGACACCTCCCACCACACCAGATTGCTCCAAGCCCCCTCCAACCTGCCCTTGAACCCCTCCAGGGATGGGGCAGCCACAGCTTCTCTGGCCAACCTGGGCCAGGCTCTCACCACCCTCCCACCAAACAAGTTCTTCCCCACATCTCAGCTCCATCTCCTCTCTTTCAGGGTCAAACCCTTCCCCCTCCTCCTAGGGCTCCCCTCCCTGATCCAGAGTCCTTCCCCAGCTTTCCTGGAGCCCCTTGAGGGACTGGAAGGGTCCCCAAGGTCTCCCTGGAGCCTTCTCTTCTCCAGGCTGAACCCCCCAACTCTCTCAGCCCCCCCTCCCAGCAGAGGGGGCTCCATATGTCCCTGCCAATTGCACTGGAACTAGATGATCTTTAAGATCCCTCCCAGCCTAAACCATTCTGATTCTTCACATGGCTTTGTTGGAGAGGCAAGGTAAGGGGATAGCTCCGAGCCACGTTTTATTTCTGCACCAGGCCGGAGGTCCAAGCTCTCATTGGGTATAGCTTTTTTTTTCATCTTTCACTTGCTGTCTAGCTTTAGTTTAACACTTTGTGCTATCCTCAGACAGCATGGGTACAGATAACTAAAGAGGCAATGCCCTGTGGTCTCTGGCTCCCAGTGCTTGTGGAATAATCTGTTCCTTTGGAGGGACTGAGAAATTATTTAACATCATTAATATTTAGGGTAAAAATTATGTTGGCCTAGGGCAGTTCTCCAAACTACCCAACTGACACAAGAACTTAATCTCACCGAGATAGGCTTTGCAGAGTCCACTGGTGCCTTTTAATGTGATTTATTAGTATTAATTAGTGTTCCTTTTGGGGGTGGCAGAGGTAAATCGGTGTTCGTGAAGGGCAAAGTGCTGCTCTTCAGGTTTAGAGAGGCAGCAGGTCAACACTTGGACATCACTGCAAATAGAGGGAAGGTGAGAGAACCCCAAAGAGCACCAGTGTCCACCAGTTTGTCCCTTGTCTCACCCTTGAGCAGCTTCATTGATGGTTTCTGCTGAACTGACTGTTGTGCTCCTTGCAGGGGTTGTGCAGGGCATCGGGGAGGAGCACGTGGGGGTTTACGCAGCAGAATTGGACTTTTGTACAAAGGGAACATTTTGTCTGGTACTTGCTGGAGTGTGAGTCAGCGCAGTCTGAGTGCTGTGGCTCAGCTAGAAATGCATCAGGAGCGCGGTTGAGAGGCACAGGGCACCCTTGAGAACCCCTTAGCAAAGAGCCAGGCTGAGGGAAATGGTTCTGTAAAGTCCACCTGCGTTGGGCTTGCAGTTCCTCACATGCAGAATCACAGAACTGTAGGGGCTGGAAGGGACCTCTGGAGATCATCTGGTGCAACTCCCTGCAAAGCAGGTCCACCCAGAGCAGGTCCCACAGGAAAGTGTCCAGGTGGGTTTGAATGTCTCCAGAGAAGGAGACTCCACCACCTCCCTGGGCAGCCTCTGCCAGGGCTCTGCCACCCTCACAGCAAAGAACTTCCTCCTCAGGTTTAGGTGGAATTTCCCATGTTCCAATTTGTGCCCGATGCCCTTGTCCTGTCACTGGGAACCACTGAGAAAAGTCTGGCCTCATCCTCTTGACACCTGCTCTTTAGATACTGATGAGCATTGATGAGGTCCCCCTCAGTCTGCTCTTCTCCAGCCCCAGGGCTCTCAGCCTTTCCTCCAGCCCTTGATCATCTCTGTAGCCCTCTGCTGTCCCCTCTCCAGCAGTTCCTTGTCCTTCTGGAACTGGGGAGCCCAGAACTGGTCCCAGTGCTCCAGATGGGGCCTCCCCAGGGCAGAGCAGAAGGGGAGGATGACCTCCCCTGACTTGGTGGCCATGCTCTTTTTAATGCCCCCCAGGAGACCACTGGCCTTCTTGGCCACAAGGGCCCATTGCTGGCTCATGGGCATCCTATTGTCCACCAGGACTCCCAGGTGTCTCTCTACAGACTTGCTCTCAGGCAGGTCACCCCCAATCTGTCCTGGTGTGGGGGGTTACTTGAACACAGGAAGTTCTACCTAAACACGAGTAGGAACTTCGTTCCTGTGAGGGTGGCAGAGCCTTGGAAGAGGCTGCCCAGGGAGGTGGTGGAATCTCCTTCTTAGGAGACATTCAAACCCACCTGGACACGTTCCTGTAGGACCTGCTCTGGGTGACCCTGCTCTGGCAGGGGGTTGGACTAGATGATCTCCAGAGGTCCCTTCCAACCCCTACAGTTCTGTGCTTCTGTTATTCCAGTACCTGCCTTTCAGTTGTGGAAGGTTTATGAACGCTGCATGTGAACCATCTCTGCTGTTCCACCATCCACAGGGATTGTGGATAACCCAGAGACCCGGGATACAGGTCCAAACCCCTCTCTGGGGGTCGGAGAGCCCTCCTGACGTGGATGTAAATCTCTTGCTTTGATTCTCCTCTTCCCTGGAGTTCAGCCTGACTTGAGTGAAGTCATTCCCGATTCACGGGAGTGAAATTGCAGCGAAGCCCTAAATGAAAGGGCCACGTGAGTCGTCGGGGGCTGAAATGCCATGTGCCAGGCGGCCCTCTCTTGAAAAATGAGCTGTTTCCCGTCGTCTCGCCGTCATTTGGGAATGTGCCACCCCATTGGGCTGTCAGAGAGTAAATAAAGAGCTGACGTGTCTCTTTGTTTATTGGCACTTGGCGTTACAAATAACGAAATGCTAATTTTTCTGCTGGGCAACATTTCCAATTAGTTGCTCTTGCTGCTGCTGCTGCTGATTTACGCAGCGCTGTTTGGCGGCTCCGGTTGTAGAGTGTGGGTGTTCTCGTGCCACCCTGCGTTCCCCGGTGTCCTGGCGTTATGGTCTGGCAGCCCCTGCCTAATTGGAAACCCTTGTGGAACCGCCTGGCAAATAAACAACAGACGGGAATACTTACATTTGTGTGTCCTTCGGGCTTATTAATAGATAATCTGAGAGGAAGGAGGAAGCGAGAAGCATATAAAACCACGGCACGGCTTACTCTGTCTTGTCCTCTTGCTCTTTTTCGCTGTTAGCAATGCAATATTTTCAGGCGATACAAGTTCAGTCTGTGAGGTTTGCAAAATTCATTACCGATGCTCAGCGGAGACTGAATTAATGCTCATTGAATAATATGAAATATGACAGGACGGTGAGTTATTGCATTACTGAAATTAACTCCTTTAAAATTCAGCCCGGCCCTGATAGAGATGTTTTGTAGCACGCAGAAGCTATTCCAAGTGTACTTTTGAGGAGACTCCTGGGAGGAGGGGGGAAGGGGCAGAAGATCAAGGCAAAGGGCTCCGTGCGAAATGAACCTGGAGCCAAGTGAGTGATTTTAAAGCTTTCTGTGAATTGGTGGTGGAGAGAGGCAGGAGAAGGGCTAGCCCGTCTCACATGGAGCTATCATCACCCTCCACTCCTCCTTTCTTTTAAGGGCCCTTATTTCCCAGCCTTTCTGGTCTCCTGGTTTCAGCAGGGAGATCTTCAAGACCCTCCTGGGTGCAGTCCTGAGTAAGATGCTCTAGCTCTAGGCAATCCTGCTTCAGCAGGGGAGTTGGACTAGATGATCTCTAGGGTCCCTTCCAACTCTAAAAATTCAGTGAAATTCAGTGAAATTTCCCTGCTTGATTTACTGTGGTCCCTTGCCTTAGGAGGATCTCTTCTTTGTAGTTGTCTGCTACGAGGAATTCAGTGTTTAGTATCGGTTTTGCAGTAAAACTGAGGTCTGGGTTTGCTGGGCAGTGAAGGTTGGTGTCACTGCGATGGTAATTAACGTTTGCCTGAGTTTGCAAAGAGCCTGAAATGACATCTCCGAGACAAGCAGCGGCTTTTGTTTCAGTGAGTGCCAGTTCAAATGCCAGTGGTGGTACTTGGAAGGCCAAGTGGTGGCCAACTTGTAATTTTTTGCTTATCAAAGGGGAATAAGAGAAGAGGAACCATCGTATGATCATCAATGTCTTCCTTGAAATTGAGAGAGGAGGTGGATGAAGGATGAAGTCGCATTTTTATGAAAATCTGTAGCCTGAAGCTGCATCTTTGTGGCATTCTTTAAAGGATAAGCGTGATGCGACCCCTCTCTCATCCGGGGATGTTTATTTAGAAACCTGGATTTAATCAGTCTGCTGAGGGTTTGCAGTTGCGGAGTGAAAGGTGATGTTTAAACTGGTTTCACAGCAGAGTTGGTAACACAGGGCAGTGCTGCAGTGGAGTGTGGCAGCCTTTATCTCCTCCTAGGGGAGGGCGATCCAGCCTTCAAAAGGTCCTCGGAGACCGTCATTGATGCCACCTTCTGCCTTAGCACCCCTTTTACTTAGAATCATAGAATTGCCCAGGCCGGAAGGGACCTCCAAAGGTCATCTAGTCCCACCCCCCCGCAGTCAGCAGGGACACCCCCAACTAGACCAGGTTGCCCAGGGCCTCGTTGAGCCTCTCCTTGAATATCTCCAGGGATGGGGCCTCAACCACCTCCCTGGGCAACCTGTTCCAGTGCTCCACCACCCTCACAGTGAAGAACCCTCTCCTCATCTCCAGTCTTAGGTTCTGCCCCCTCCCCTTTGGCCTGATGCCAGGCCAAGGTCCCACCTCGGTGGGGTCAGAGAAGTTGGTTGAAGGGGCAGCTCCTGCTGGAGACCTTCAAGCCGAGCTTTGTGTGGGAAGGGATGTCCCAGGGCACCCCATGGAGAAGGGGCTCAGCCTGGGCACGAACGGCAAGAGGCGGCTTTCTCAAGGTCGTGGTTGTCACCGTGAGGCCAAATCCATGTTGCTTTTCCTTCCCACACCTGGAGAAGTCCCTTTCCCTCTGTGTTGCGATCCCAGTGTCCCTCACCGGCAGCGGGGCTGGGAAAGCTGCCTGTGCTTGCAGTGGTGGTGGGGGATTTATTCCTCAAGCTCTTATTTCCATTGATCCACTCGCTCCTCAGCAGTGGCAACGACTTGAAAATAATTTCCCTTTTGCTTCCCTCCAATACCTCCGAATTGTTGAAATGTCTTTTTCTCTTTATCCCCGTGCTGATCTGAACTGCTTGCATCTTCCTCTGTCTACCTAGCATCTGGAAGGGAGTGATAAGTAAATATGGCATGCTGAGACTTAATAAGGCACACAGCTTTCAACTGGATTTACAATGCCTTTGTTAGAGTAGTGGGGCCAAAACAACCACACAAAAAAAAAAAAAAAGAAAGAAAATAACATTCTTCATTTGCTAATGCAGTTTGTGAGGATCTAAACAGTCCAGGATGTGAAGTACCCAGATAATAGGTGATTTAAATTCACATGGGCTACCCGTAGCTTTTATTTTAGAGGGCTTAGGCTACGAGATTGAGTACAAAATTGCTAATTCAGAAGGGCTTGCTGAAGATGAAATGCTCTCCTGAAATGTGATATTCAATTCTGTAGGTCGTTTGCTGCGGTTCCCTTCCTGGCATTTTACCTTCCAAATACGAGACGCAAAAGCCTTTCTGCAGTTTCCAGTGTGAATATTTGAAACGTCTATTAAAAGAAAAAGATCTTTTACTCTTTTTACATCTTGGATGTGACGGTGTCTGTCACTGTCACCTTAAACCCCAGCTGAGCAGGTGGCTGGTAGGGGTTGGGTGGTGGCTGTTGTGCTGAAGGCAATAGCAATGTGTCTGTGCCTCCTCTGGCTGCCTTCGGTCCCTTCCAGGCTTGGAGAGGATGAGTATGGGAGCAGGGAATCCCCAGCACGGAGGAATCCAAACCAGATCTGGCTGAGGGAGCTTGCTGCTGCGTGCAATTCCTAAATCAAATTGTCTGCTTGCTGCTTCGGCGATTATAAAAATATCAAATGAGTTAAAAACATCAAGGGGGGGGAGGGGAAAGAAAAGAGAAGATCAGGACAGCAAGGGAATGATAAGAGGCAGAGCTTTTATCAGCTCGATAAGAGAGCTGCTGGGGATAATGGCTCCTGACCCTACTGTGGCCGGTTTACCACTGATTTCAGCAGGGACAAAGTGATGCTTCCGGCCCAGGGATGCCACGCCATACATCTGGAGATCAATCTGCTCAACCCCACAGTAAAATGATTTTGGTGGCTTAATTCGCCTTCCTACTGCTAAATGCTAGACAGCTCGAGGGGGGGGACGGGACTGTCTGGCTCTTTCCTGAACAAGCCGGTGGCTGGGAATAGCATAGTTGAGTTTTCTCTGGTGGGGATGGCTGGGTGTCTCCTGTCTGCAGCTCCTGATGCCACCGTGCCTTGTGTTAGGGTGGCTAAGGAGGCACAAAGCCATTTATTCTGGAGACCTCACCAGAGGGATGTGATTAAGGCATCAGCCGTGCAGCAGAGAGGAAGCAGAGCTGTCTCCCGTGTCCCCTGAGGCTGGGAGGAGATGTGAAGGGAAACAGATGAGAAGGAAGAAGAACTCTCTAAGTCTAGGGTAGGGCTGGAATAGGCTGCTGAGGGCAGGGGTGGGATTGTTAGTGCTTTTAAGTACTTGTCAAACATCTCCAGTTTGACCAAACTCCAGTTTGGGTGCAGAGCTGGGCCAGTTCTGGGGTGGGGAGGTGGATCAGATAGCTTTTTCATAGAATCATAGAATTGCCTAGGCCAGAAGGGACCTCCAAAGGCCATCTAGTCCGACCCCCCTGCAGTCAGCAGGGACACCCCCAACTAGACCAGGTTGCCCAGGGCCTCATCGAGC